AATTCCCCGGCCAGCATATGCTGGCCGGGGATTTCTGAGGGTTGAAGTCCACACATCTTAAAGTTGCCAAGGTTGAGAAACTCTGCCTTAGAGGATGGATTTGAATCACATTGGTATCCTCTAATCTAGCTGTCTGCAGTAGAGAGCACCATTCCATCACCAAAATTGTTGTAAGATTTAGCTGACAAACCAATTGGCTTCAGTCTGTGGAATGGAAAGATGCCATTCTTTCATCTCAGGTAGTCTGGCTCTTCCAACACCCATTTAAACAATGCTGCTTTTCCCTTCAGCCTGTGAATTCAGGCTCTCGGTTAGAAAAGGTTGAAGGTCTACTGCTGATGCATAGGAATAAGCTAATGCTAATATGTATGCTGTGCTTACAGACGTCAGAACCACCTCCCAGGCCCAAAACACCAGAAGTCCTCAGGTAAGATCAATAAAGTCCAGAGAATATTAATATCCATTAGTTATTCCTTCAGCCAATCTCTCCCAAGACTAAAGATAAGAATAAAATAAACTCAGAATTCTGTTTAGATACACAACATTTCTAATTAGATGTAAGATAAGAGCTTGTTATAATAAGCAGGAGCATCATTTTCTAAACAAAACAGAAAAAAAAATCCAAAAACATAGGTAAATGTGCAGATATTGTAAAATGCAGAATGATCTACTTGAGGTTTTTGCCCATAATGCTCCTACTCTTAGGATCTTCTCAAGAATCAGATATTATTGAAAATGTTATGCACAGAATGAAGTGCTGTTGATGATTGATTCCTTGTGCACAGGTCCCGTTTGCATTCTTCTTGTTCCCTTGGGGATTTGGGATGTGCAGGAGTCATCGTCAGAGGATGAGCTAATACTGTAAATTGTTGCTTGGCTATGCAGGGCACTGCAAGGAGAACCTCACAGAGTCTTGTATGAATTAATTCCTGAAACTTCACAAGAGCTTCATGTCCTTCCTGGAAACATTGTTTTTGTTTTGAAGAAGGAGAAAGACAACTGGGCCACGGTTGTGTTTAATGGAAAGGTAATATATACATATATATTGGGTCCAATGGTATTGGATAGCATTGGATAACTTTTGTCCGGTTCCCAACCTTACCTTTATGGGGAAGATTGTTGAGAGGGTGGTAGGTATCCAGCTTTGGATGGCCCTGGACAAAGATGATCATCTATACCCTTTTCAGTCAGAATTCAGGCTGGATTATAGTACTGAGGCAACATTGGTTGCACTTGTGGATCATCTTTGGAGGGCTTGGGATGGTGTATCTTTAGGACCAGTTCTGAGAATTGGGAATGGAGGCACTGTCTTGCAGCAGTTCTCCTCTTTCCTCTATGGCCACTTGCAGTCAGTGTTTGCAGGGGAGGGGGAAGGTCTAGCCCTAGGCCCCTCTTATGTGGGGTGCCTTAGGGCTTGGGTCTCTTACCTCTATTTAACACCTACATGAAACCGCTGGGTGAGGTCATTTTGTAGCATGGGACATGGGTATCATCAGTATGAAAATGATACTAAGCTATACAACCCCGCTCGATGCTGGGCAGATGATGCCATTCAAGTTTTTATTCAGCGCCTGGAAGCTGTGGGGGCCTGGACAGGAAGGACCAATTGCGACTCAACCCTACCAAGACGGAACGGCTTTGGGCTTTTGCCCCCCCCCCCAAATTCTCATCTTTGACTCTGGATGGGGTAGTACTCCTCCGGATGGAGTTGGCACACAATTTGAGGGTCCTCTTGGACTTATGGCTCCTGCTCAAGGAGCAGGTGGCAGCTGTGGCTGAGGGGCCTTTGCACAAATTCATTGTGTATCCCAATTGCACCTGAACCAGGCGGCTTTGCTCAGTCACTCACACCTTAAGTCGCTTCCTGACTGGATTACTGCAATGTGCTCTACATGGGGCTGCCATTGAAGACCACTTGGAAATGATAACAGGTCCAGGATGCAGTAGTGCATGCAGTTCTGTGCACCCTGCAGTTTCCTGTGTCACACCACTGTTGAGAGAGCTAAATGGCACAAGACCAGGTTATCTGGAGAACCACCTCTCCCTGAGGGTATTTTTCCATCCCACCAGGTCAGCTAGGGTAGGCATGCTCCAAAATCCCTCCCCTTACATATTGTCATTCAGTGGGTCCTCTGAATCATGCCTTCTCCATAGCTGCTCTGGTCCTTTGGAACAGCCTCCCACCTGACATCTGGAGGGTCCCTATCCTTTTAGCTCTCTGGAAGGCCATGAAGACCTGTCTCTTCGCCCAAGCACTGGGCCAGGATGGAGATGAGCCAGCATATGTAAATTTGATGAGATGTTATGGCACCATGGTGGGAAGTGTGTTCTTTTGTAAGGGAGAGATATTGTTTATTTTGCTGTTTTTTGTGTTTTGTTGCGAGCCACTTAGGATTGAGTGTAAGATAGGCAGCCATATAAATTCAATAAACCAACCAGCCAGTATGTTATTTCAATAGAAGCCCGCTCTGAGAAATGCAACATCCAGTCACTCAAATGTTGCACTGCTGCCTTCACAGCAGGGTCACGTTTACCCCTTTTGTTTTGGCTCAGTGTACTTACTGTTCAGCAACCTGACTTCAAACCTTTCATAGGGACAGCTGATACTACATGATGACCCCCTCCTTTTTTTTTTGGCTTGCTGCTAAAGATTTCTTTGCTGATTTCCTAACAATTTCAAGCTCTGTTCCTTGGTTCAGGACGTCCTGTGGCCTAGTTACTATCTTTGCCTAAAAACAATACACTCTCCTTAGGACAGTGACTTGCTCATCCAATTATGCTCCTAAGTCCCTTTGCAAAGGAAATGTGCCTCTCGAGACAGGACTGTCAAGTTAAAGCAGTCAGGTTTTCCTTGTTTACACCTACTGTAGTTGATATCAAATGCAATCAGAATTTGATTTTTTCCATGCTGTACACCACAACCATGCTGCTATTAAAGTTGCAATATTCTTTGCTCTTCTCACATTGGTAGACAAACCCAAGTGAAAGACAAAAGAAGCCCATAAGTGAACGTAAGGAGTTGCTTTGTGATTCTGGACTTTCAGTTTTCCATGTAGAGGAACAATATTGCTCTGAAAAAGAATGTGCCAGCCAAATAAAAATGCTGCCATTCAGAGATTAGAAATAAGCAGTGGTTAAAACATTTTTCACCTTCATACAAATCTGGATGCATCTAATGTGTTAACAATTCTTGTTTTTACCTTTGTGTAGAAAGGGATTGTGCCTTGCAATTACTTAGAGCCAATGGAACTGCAGAACCAGCCTACATTGCAGGTGAGAGTCCAATGATTTTGTAGGTAAGAATTAAATGTAAGAACATGGATTGGATTTGTTGTCAAAAAATGAAGCGGTGGTTTCTCCATGCTTCCCTTCCATAATATTTAGGACTTCTTAGCTAAACTACTTATTTCTAGCTAGCAACAGTAAACAGTAAAATGGTACCTGGAAATAGGAAATACTGTCCCATTAGTGGACAATTAGATTGCCCATAAGGTTATGGCTTGGAGAGAAAAGTTTTATTTTTCTGCTTCCTTCAATTGGGCTTCTTTAGGAGAACACATACTTTATCAATTAAAATAATCATTCCAGACTTATTAGGAGTTAGCATTTATCTAACTAGTTACCCACTGATTTGTCATCCATCCATCACTGGTTATCTCATAGTAGCCTGGAGATTTATAAGACTATTCTCATTTCTCAGATAGAAAGTTAAGATTGAAAAAGAGTAGTGCTCAAGCTCCTCCTCCCTAGCCTGAGATTTAAACTTAGGACCTATTAATTGGATCAAATGATCTGTTACATGCTGACATTCATTTTAAAGGGATGGCATTAATACAATTCATGTCTTGACTACAGAATTCTCTCCAAAGCCTAATAGGTAGAGTTCAGGACAAGTTCTGAAAAAAATAACCAGATGAAAAATTGGCAAAGGTTCATATCAGTATCTTTTTTCTGCCGAGATTTGGGCTGTACTACTACTCCCAACAAGATGAGATCGCCTTACCTGTTTTGTGTTGAATGTTTTGGGACTTACACAGTTCAATCACTGCATATACTATCCTCAGTGCCCTCACATGCTATTTCCATTCTTTCCAGGAGGAAAAGAATGAAGATTTGGACATCCCTGCTCCACCAAGCATTGCTGCTCCAGAATTCCCCAGAAAGCTTCCCCCAAGTGAGTAAAAACCACATTCAGCAAATACTTCTAAGGTGTTGGGTTATTACACAGCTACCTGCAAATCGTTTTCCCCCCAACAGAGCTGCTAAAGCAGGTACTTGCTCTCTGCCCTCTCTAAATTCTCCCTTTTTTATTAATCATGAGAAGGATGTATTAAGAGATGCATCAACTGTATTTCTGATTAATGATAACAAGCTCTCCTCAGTGTTATAATTTGCAGTTCTATATTAAACTATATTTATGAATATTGATTTAGAAGGAGACCATAGGAATCATTAACCACGGTTTTAACACCAGATCATGATTTAAGTCCAACAATTCCATAGTCTAAGGACTGTGCATTCTTTATTTTCTAAGAAAGATTTTTTGAGTAAAAATTGTTCTGTTTTCTACAGGTCACGAAAGAGAACTGAAGGTAAATGATTTCCTTCCATTATAAGCTTTTGGACAGGCAAAACAGCAAACTGCTATCATTAGAGATCTAATAGAGTTCCTGGCTGCATCAAGAACAGACATAGCACCTTACACAAATACTTAAAAATAATATATAAATAGGATTGTCATCTCAAATTATAGTAAATAAATTTACTAATAAGAATTACAACACCTGCTTTTGGAAGGCAAATGCCCCTCACACAAATATCTATTCGCCACAGGCCATTTTACCATCATGGAAACTATTATAACTAGGTGCTTTGAACATGTGCTCATGTAGGGATTTCATTTTAGTTTCAGAAATGGAACTTGCAAGTACATTCTCTTGCATGCAAGTCTCTTTGTTTTCCCTCTCAAGTTAGCAGCCTAATGTGTTAAGACTGGGAAAAAAGTGTTTTTCCTGTTAAAGCATTAGGAGCTAGAAGTTCCTATGGATCTATTGTTTAATAGCACAGGAATTTACTAGCAAATTCTTATCTACACCTTATCTTAAAGTATTTAAATCTGTTAAGAATTCTCTTTGGAATTGCCTAGATATGTTCACTGATTTTGTTCTGTGCTACATAATACTCGATTTATATATATTTAAGGGTGTGCAAAAATTTGAAATTCAAACCATTTCAAATTCAAAGGACCTATATTGAGTGCAAGAAAGCCATTTTGTCGTTTTATAAATGTTTTGAACTCAACCTCAAAAGATTTCTGAAACAGTCTATTTCACACTTGAAACAGGGCATTTTGAATTCAAATTAGAATTTGAAATGTTTTGCACCATCATAATACATACTTTAATATTTTAATAAATGATTCAGGAAATATTTATTGGGCAGCATACAAAGAATACATTACTGCCTCTTAGTACCACTTGTTTTTAAAATTAAGTGCTCTGTCCAAAAAAAAAAAAAGTTTAAAAAATGCTGAAGTTATAGCATCACAGCTGTTATCTGCTACTTTCACCAGTTACAACCACTGTAATGCCTGAAGCACAGAGCAGACGCTTAGCGTGTCTTTTTATCCACATGCTTCCCCTCCATACGGCCATTGGAAATGCAGATGTGCCATTGGAGGCATGCATTTGTCAGGCTCTTGTACTTTTCTTACAGTTTGATGCATCTCCAACACCCTATATCATCAAGGTGCATTACAAATTCACAATAGCCCTGCACGTGAGTCCCAACCTGTCTTATAGCAGCCTTTTAGAGAAGGTGTGCAAGAAACTGGAACTCTCTCCTCAACACACAACACTGAGGTAAGGAAGACCACTCAGCAGCACTTCACTCCTAATGAGTTGGATGAAACCTTTGCTTCTCACCAGCTTTTCTGTTGCTTAGGTACCAGATCACAGATGGTAAGGATCAGGTCGTGAATGAAGACACTATGACAACCTTATGGAATCATGCAAAGAACAATTGCTTGACATTGTGGTGCACCACCTATGAGGTAAGACAGACTAGATTAGAAAGCAACATACGTTGTTAGGTAGCACCACATGTCATTCCTTGAGAACAGAAGTTCCTTTTTATTTAGACCAGTAATCTCTGAAAATTGCATCTAAACCACACAGAAACCTTTTTGGCTGTAAGAGTGAAAAGTGCTTCCTATATTATTTTGAAAAGGCATATATAAATTTTTTCTGTACTTTCTCTCCCCCCCCCCCAACATAAGACGTTTAGGACTAGGGGCAGCTTCACCCACAAATATGATATACATGGAGATGTCATAAAAGGTATATCTGGAAGAATGCTGTATCATTTAAGAGTAGCCAAATAGGGGTTCTATTACTTATTTTCCATTCTTTCTGATAAGTTTCATTTTTCGATAAAATTAAGCAATTCAAGCAGCTATAATGAGGGCACTTAAAAAAAATTGAACTGCTAATTAAGAAAGTGTCAAGAGATATTTAAATGTGTTCTTTCTCATATTAGATCAGCAAAGATGATTTAAGAATGGAAGATGGTGAGGAGGTTCAACAGAAAATACTAAGAGAGACTGAATCAAATCAAGTTATAGCACGATATACTTACGAAGCCAGTCAGCCGGAAGATCTGGAGTTTAAGAAAGGGGAGATAATTGTTGTTTTAACTAAAGGTAAATTTATCTTAAACCATGGAACTTAAATTCATTTGAGACATTATCTTTCTCCTTGTACAGTTCCTCCATTTTAAATGTTAACTCCAATTTTTCACCTTAGCAATTGTTAGTTACAGGAACTGAATAGCTCCACCTACAGGAATCTGCAATGTACACATTCACTTCAACTTCAACCCATTCAATGAATTTCATTCAGAATGTGTTAAGTGTTGGGGGACCATACTGGTGTGATGAAAATGTCCATGTTTTAGCAGCATGCACAAAAGTTCTTTCTGGAGCTAAGATTCACAGCTCTTCTTTATTGGAGAGTACAGTACTGTAGTATTGATCTCTTCTCATGGCTTACCATTATTACAGCTCCATTTTCCAACCAGTTATCTTTCTCAAAGTAATTGCCTTGAATGCTGGCCCTGGGCATCTTGTGTTTCCTCACTTCTATTGCCTTTTTCAACTTACTCGTCTCCCTTGCATATGGTAGTGGCAACCTGAAGTTCATGCCTTAGTGCTATTAAAAGGGATGGACAGGATATCTAGACAGTAGTGTGGCAACTGAGAAGGTTACAGCTTCTTGGTCCAAAATCATACTGAGTAGGGCTTAGACTTTGTACCGGAAGGCAAAAAGGTGCTCTGGAACACAATGGGATACACAAGTAGCACATATCTGCAACTCCTAAAACCAAATACAATTTTTTCCAGGATTGTGTGTCATCTGCAGAAGGCAATTGTGAAATCCCAGGAAAAGATGCAGCTGCTTAAGAAAATGCAGATATGAGCACCTCCATGTGCTCCAAATCATTTTTTTTAATCTTTCAATACAAAGCACTGCACATCCCCAATATCAAATGTCTTGCAATCCCACAACTGTAAGAGATACTTACAATGCTTCTGTAGAATTCAAATAATATTTTCTCAGATTTCCCAATTCAGCTGCATTCTACAGTCAAGCAAGCATTCATTCATTCTACCACCAAATGCATTAATATTTTTGCCAAATATGATATTGTTTAGCAAATTAGGTTTCCAACTTCTGACAGTAGAGGAATGTTATTAAAAACCCCAACTTCTGCTTTGATGTCTTAACATGATTGCACACAGTCTCCCATCCTTTAGTAATGCTGTTGACCATCATACTCTCACCCACAGAAAAGTTCAAGAGGCAGTTCGGTTACTGAAAGAGTTCTGTAACTAAGCCATTTATAACATTACCAGATCCCAAAGACTTCTCATATAGTTTCTGCAGAACCCTTCTTGAAGCACCCATCTTTGAATGTCATTCCCCACTGATCATTAATCAATTATGTTTATGACTCAATCTTATTTTATCTTATAGTGAATGAAGACTGGTTGGAAGGCACATGCAATGGGAAAGTGGGCATTTTCCCCAAAGCATTCATTGAAGAATACCACAGCCAAAATCTAGAAATTAACTCTGAAGGATAAGCTGAAACCTCACAAAGAATTGAGAAAATCCTGACTTTTAATTTTTTCAAAGCAACTCATTCATTACATTGAAGGTTCTTTGGAGTCCTTGACATTCTCTGAGTTTGGTTGTTTTCTTGCAGACATCTCATTACCCGACTAGGAAACATCTTCAGTGCTAGAAGGGAGTGGGGTTTGCTCTGTTTATATACAGTAGCTTGTCAGTATTGGTGGGGGTGTTGTTTTCTCGGAACTACCAAGAACACTGACAGGGCAAGCCACTGTATATAAACAGAGAGCAAACCCCACTCCCTTCTAGCACTGAAGATGTTTCCTAGCCGGTAACGAAACTTCTGCAAGAAAACAACCAAGCTCAGAGAACACCAAGGACTCTACAGTTCAACCCTGAGCTACATATATTCTCTTCTAAAGGCTGTCTTTGCTGGTTGAAGCCCTTGTGATTATTTTTGTTGCTATTATTTTTGTTCAGTGTATTCTTAAATGTTTATCATCTGCAACTTACACTAGTTTTCCTATACTGTACTTTACCTACAGTGCCAGCTATTCACAACTGGACCCGTAGTTAATAGCAGAGTTAGAGTTTCCATCTCTGGGATGATATGAAATACTGGCAGCATTCTTTGGTACCAGTAGAATTATATCAAAACCCAGAAAACACATACCTTTCAGATCTCAAAATGTTCTGCTGCCCTCTGCTATGACAAATAATGCTAAGCACCCTGCATAGCAGAAATAAATAATGGGTCATGAAGAAAAAAAAGCAGAAGCTTTAGCTGCCTCAACTTCTGCTGCAGAAAGGAATCTTTCAAAGGCACATGTGCAAATCTGGGAATCTTAGGTGAGATGAAATGATGGAAAAGCATAATTTGAAGGGACTCCATCTCTAGCAAGTGATAATAATTCATTAATTAGGCCAACTGCTGTATAGTGTTTTACTGAAATAAAAAAATTACCTTCAAGGTTGTTGAAAAGCAGTACAACGTTCGAGTGTTTGATTTTTGCCAGTACTTCTTCAAAAGACGTAGTTTTGTTATTTTATCTACAAAACACCATTAGTGTGTGTTTTTCAACTACTATTCACACACACAAAAAGCAACTCCTTAATAAAAGGACTACTAACTGTATGGCAGTTCCCAAAAGTTAGTCTGCCAAACCCTGGCTATCCAATTCTAGAAATCTATGTAGTACTAAGTGCATGTCTCTTGAACATTTGTCACTGCCAACTCTTCTGTCATACTCAGTAATTGAAATGACACAACATAACTTGTAAATAACTTTTCTCTTGTGGTAGAAGATGCAATCTTGTTTACCTTGCTTTGTCACCTTTATATTCAACTTCACTCTACAAATCTCTTCTACTTAAATCTCTTCTCTATTTCATTAATAGAGATATCCTTTGCCGAAAAGAAATCAATTGAGTTTCATTAACAACAAATAATCACTTAAAGAAAATGTTACTACACAAGGCTGGCTGTAGAGAACATGGTTTAATTAAAGGCAAAGCTGAGTTCAGCAGCTGCAGGTCTCGCACAGACAGACAAAAACACAAAAGAAGCTTACGACACAAACCAGTTTTCTCTGCTGGGGGTTCCCCTTCCCTTGAGGTTCTAGCCACAGCAGGGCATGTGTGTAAGGGGTAGGATGGGGAAGGGAGCCCTGCCTTAAAGATTCAGAAAAAAAACATTCCAAACACCAGATTTCTCATGCAGAAATGGGAGCCTATGGGTTGGGACTCTGGCACTGTGCAGAGTGTGAGATCATGAACCTGGTTAGGTTGTCTAGAGTGCAAGAATCAGTGGCTGTTCAAACACTGGAATGTTGCAGCTGCTGGGGTGCACAGCTCAAATACGCAAACTTGGAAAAAGGGACAGGGATGGAAGCTGGCTTGGGAGGGGGCAGGGAGGCAAAGAAGCACAACTAGGGAAAGAATTTCATCCTTGAGGGTTTCTTTTTTTCTTTTTTCTTTTTAGTTTTCTAAAGAGGTTTTTTTTTTTTTTTAACGCAATATAACCCAGAGCAGCAACACCGCTTGCACAGGGAGTTCAATTCCTATCCTAGCGAGAGCATTATCCCATTCAGCTTCCTTTCATATATAGTCTATTTGGGGCTGTTCCCCAACTCCAGTGTCACTTGTGGACCCCGGATGTGCTTTGCTCTGCAGCTGTTTTTGTGGCTCACAGATCCTGAACTGATACACACACGCATACATACTCCTGCATCTGCTGCAGTTTAAAACATTTAGACTGTTTCCATAGGTACCCTGGGAAACAAACAAAAAAAAAGTTCTTGTTTCCTATGCAAGAAGAGTTGCAGCCTTCCTTCTGCTTAATAAATATCAAGTACAACCTTTTCCCCTTTCTGCATCCTTATAGGACCAAGTTGGACTGACAGCTTCTCTGCATGGGTCCCTTCTTATGCATCTTCTGTTGTCTTGAACTTCCATTCTGAAACTGGAACTCTGTGATTACAGGTGTGTGCGAACCTGTGGACATACACTTATTGGCAGAGGGGACTGCCTATATTGTCCTGTTCAGACTAATTCCTTTGCTTCCCATTATCCTGCTAGAATTTTGTGGGATGCTGTATATGAAGAATAGAACTACAAGCAACCAGCAGGGTGAGGGAAGGCTAGAAAAGGGGGCTGGGAGGGGGGAAAAAAAAAAAGACACAGAAAGCTTCTACCTACCTACCTAAAGGAGTCAGGCTGTGAATGCACAGGCCAGCTTTGCCATTTCATCAGACTGGCCACTACGCTATCATAAAATGTACAGGAATCTGAACCATTTAACTTAAAACCCCACAGCAGCAGCGTGCTACCCTGAACAGAGGGCTGGCAGTGGCCACTGCACTTTAGTACTGCTGGAATCTTTAACCCATTCACAATTGTCCAGACTCAACCTTTGAAGAAAAGGTGGAAATGATGCTGGAGGGGCCAAATTCTCCTTCATTAAACTCCTTACCTAACCAAGGAGACAAGACACTTGCCCTTCAGTCAATTTACCACTACCCAACTCTGGCTGGACCAGTGACTTGAGGGGTGCTACACACTGACTACAAAGCACATCTGTGTATGGAAGAATTCAGTGTGATCTTACTACTGAGATAGTAATAATTCGAAATTTAGACGTTGAGGAATAAATTTCAACTACATTCTCAGTCAGCAAAGCTATAGGTAATAGATTCCTATTAGTTTCCCCAATACTGAGGAGGAGGATTGAGAAGTTCTCAGTGGCTTCTCCCATCTGCTCTTCTTTCCCATCTTTTTATTTTCCCACATGGCTGGGCACATGCACGATGGAGAAGGTGAGAGGCGGTGATATCAGGTTACCGTGAGACAAACAGCAGTCCCTCTCTCCCTCCAGAGGGCCCTGGTGGGATAGGAGAGTTCCTGGTGTTGGTTTTCCATTGCACTGCATACATTTTCGTGCATACTCAGTGGGTTGGTGGAGCACTTACGCCCTCCTGACAGCAAGGAACAGAAGAGAGGGCTGCCACGCGCACAGAACTGTGTGGGCAGTCCTGTAAACCCAACATGCCATGATGTATGGAGCTTTCGATTGCAAAGGTTGCCACCTCTTTCATTCTCAGTGCGGTGGATTCATGGCACCTTGCCCACGTTGCTGCTTTTGCTTCTGCTGCATCAACAGTTGCTCCAGAGCAGAAGGTCCAGGATGCATCATAGAACTGGACCAGATAGACTAAGCAAAGAAACAAACATCCCATAAGATGAAGTTGGAATCTGAAGCAGAAAAAGAGCATACTAAAAATATCTCAAGGCAGTGCCTACTCCCTCACCAACTTCTCTAGTTTTTCCTTCCTCTGGCTTACTGTTCTTCCTGGCCCAGTGTGGCTGAACCCACCCTTAAGCCATCATAAAATACATCCATAAGAATTTAAATTCTTTGCCACCACAGCTTCTCCACATACAAATGACAAATGTGATAAACATGTTGGATACTTGAAAACCTGTAATTAAACCTTAATTGTACATGCTTCACCTGACAAATGGTTCCAATATAATTGTCAAATAGCAAGAATCAGAAAAATATCATAAAGGGAATATCATTAGCATTTCAGAATTTTGCCATACATAGTGCATAACCTGACAGACAAAGCACAGAATCAATATGCAGCCCACCTTCAGGCTTTCCATAAGCACAGCTGATGAATCCTCTATGGATGGGCCATGGGCTGACCAGGTACCACTGTGGGTGCTGGTTGGATGCCAGCTACTCTCTGAAGAGGACGATGTCGCTGGGAGATAGTCCAGGCCAAAGCCTCCCATTGCTGAATGAGATCAAGAACAACAGGTAAGTGTCCCAGAAAACCACTGAAATTAAACTGACGCTAAGACCTTCCACTTACCTGGCTTATCTGTCTTCCATCGATCTGTTATCCTTCGATCCCTGTTGTCTGGGGTCCCAATGGGCCCAAAGTTGGAGAATGGAACTGAATTATGGTTGTGAGTTGGAGGAGAGCTTGGCAAGCTGCTTGGGTTAGAGGAATGAGGAGACTGGCTGGCTGGTGTTGAATGATCTATGGAACAGAAATTTAGAAAAAAGTCAACTCAGTAATTTCCTGATTTAACCTCCTAAATTCTATGTATGGTTCTGGTTTTATTAACGTAAGATCTGAATTCACTTTTATTCATTAATAAACAAATATATGCACGGTTTTGGACTTTGTGAGCATTATAGATATCAAGTTTCCTTTGCACCAAGAATATCACGAAGATTGCACATGGGTTTCCAGTTCTCTCTCCCCCCCCCACACACACAGAGCCCATACACATGTATACAGACAGATGTAGAAATATAATGAGCAGGTGTATGCAGACATTATAACAATTAGGACAGTAGAAAGGGGAATTATTTGGAAAAGAAAAGGAAAAAAAAAAGAAGAATGTACATGCATTATCCTCAAGTTATATGCAGTAGGCAATGAAGGGAGTGTTGGAAGCCTCACCTGAGCTGGCTGGAAGAGATGGAGACCATGGAGTACCTTCAAAAAGAGAATAAAGTGAAGTCTCCTGGTGAGCCACTGATGGTGTGACCTCGGCTTTTGTGCTGGCATTGAGGTTTTTCCCATAAACTTCATTGAACATGCTGTTCGGATATCTTTCCTACAAAATTGAAGAAAG